ACCTCCTATATCTCCCCCACCCCCACCCCCCAGCATTGTATTTCAGTAAATCTGCCTGTCCTTCTCCCTACTCTGTCTCTGGTGATACAATTCCCATACCTCTGTTCTATTCCCATTTTTGTATGCATAAAAATATATAAATAAATCTTAAAAGAGAACATATTTCTTTCCACTTTAAAAAGTAATTGGTATCATATAAAAACAATTTTAAATAGCTGTGTCTTTGAAGTTTGGTTATAGTAGTTTCATTAGATGTGAACATTGAGCACCTGGGTCTTCTTCTATTTTCTTTTATTTTTAAAGATTTATTTATTTATGTATATAGAACTGGGTTCAGGCCAGAGGTTCAGGGGGAGGGCGGGGTTGGGGGTGCGTGAGAGGATTCACCGGAGACAGAATGAGGAGCGGAACAGGCAAAATACACCGCTACAGGAGTTGCGCAGAATAGGAGAGGTCATCATATCACGTGGGTCTGCTCCCTGGCCAGGGATCAAACTCGTACTGCAGTTTGTTGTGGAGAGCTTCGAATTGTTGTGATTTAACCTGTTCCACCACCAGGGAGGGCCCCTGGGTCCCTTGTAAACAGAATGTGATTCTACCCTTACCAAAACTTTGAACTATGAGCTTTATTAAACCAAATGTGATAGTTTGGATATATTTAAGATAGGGGAGTGGGGTTACTAAATACCCTTATTTCCAAAACTGTATTTACAATAAGCACTGTTATGTTACAAACTTTTGGAAAAGCTATTTTTCAAGCGCTTGCAGTAAAACTGCTAAACACAACTTGTTCAGGATTTCCCATTGCTCATGTAAGTAATAAACTGCCTTGTAACATATGTTGTTAGCAAATAAATCTCATGATAGTTAGGATTTATACAGATGATACATCAGCCTAAGCAAATAATTCACTCAAACTATAAAATGAGTTATCATTTTTCTAAATCACCCTCATCTATACTAATCAACCAGTGACCTTTGAAAAACACCTTTCACTCTTTCTAAAATTATTCCAAGACTAAGTAGAAATTCTCTATTAAATAATACATTATTTGAAGTTGGAACCAAAATACTGCTCAGGTAATTTGTTCTCATTTGTGTGACTGGCAGGCTGAATCCTCTCCAGTTTGCAATGATGACAAAAACTTTTGTTGGTAAATGGAATTAAATTTTACCCGTTCTTTGTTCTCCTTCTCATGATTAACCATTAAATGGCTTGAACTACTTTCCTGGAAACTTGGAAGATTGTGTTCCATACTTAATATAATTCTCTATGTCCCTCTGAGGTTAACTGTGGCATCAGAAACCACGTTGCCACTGAGAAAATTCATTGGGGTACTTCCTCAGATTTGTAAAGGTGAAACCCTGCAATTTTCTGACCATCTTCATCTACTTTTTTTTTTAAAGATTTATTTACTTGTGCATACAGAACTGGGGTACAGGCCAGAGGCTCAGGGGCAGTGAGAGGCTTCACCAGAGACAGAGTGGGGAGCAGAACAGGCTGATTGATGAAGTACACTGGTGAGGGGAGCAGCGGGGTGGTCACCTCCGGGGCAGGCGGGAATCGAACTCATGCGGAAGTGGCTTTAGCTTCTTAGTGCTGTGCTTTAACCCGCTGTGCCACCAGGAAGGGCCCTTCATCTACTTTTTTAAAGATTTATTTATTGATGCATACAAGAACTGGGGCATAGGCCAGAGGTATGGGCTGATGAAAAATTTTACTGGAGACAAAGTGGGGAGCAGAACAGGCAGGTGTACTGAAATACACTGCTGAGGGGAATAACAGGCAGGACAGGAGAGGTCTGCTGTGCCATATGGGTCACCTCCCTGGCTGGGGCTCATGCTGCAGTGGCTGCAGAAAGCCTCACAGCACAATGCTTTAACCCGTTGCATCACCAGGGAGGGCCACATCTTCCCCTCTTATATAACCCCAGCTCTCCTGCTCTCTAGGGCGCCAATTGTCCCATCTTTATCATAACCTCAAATGAACTCTGTGGAAAGACATTACTTATAACTAGCCTTTGGCTTTCTGGGCATGAGGAAAAGACCCAATTTTGTTCACAACTGGTAGTTTCAAGTAGGAATATGCTATAGGGAAGACTGAATTATCAGGGTGTGTTCAACTGTTTTAAAATGTAAAACCAAAATTTTACCTTTTTTTTTAAATATTTTCAAGTGTAAATGGTGGGGAGTTGTGTTGGCATGTTCAAGGTAATGACTGCCAATAGATAATGAGTATTATATTGGGCTTTCTTTGTATATTGAGATCCTGAGAGTCTTGTGTTTTTACAGTGCATCGTTTTTGGAGTAAGTAGTTAACTAGTAACCCTTTCTTGATATCTAGGAGCTACGTTGCTTTTTAGTCTTATTTCTCTCCATCTTATTTTACATTACTATTTTAGCCCAATGGCACCTATGCAAGAGTTTTGTTCTTTCTCCCTTTATTGGATTATTTTTAAATATATTGATGCATGATGAGATAGAAAGTATTCTTCAAACTTCATACCTATCATACATTATTTGACTAAAGCAAAAAGCTAACAGATAACATAGAATTATTCACATTATATTTCCTTGCTAATTTTTTATTATTCTATAAAGGAAACATAGTGTTATCTCATACTGTGTTTGTATATCAATAAATGGGTACTATGTTTCTAAGAGTTCTTGCTCAGTGTACATTTTCCACTGTAATTTTTGATGTCTTAACCTATCTTAAATTTACTCTTTGTGTTATTTGATCATATTTTCTTGACAATGTTAGCATATGGCATTGTAAAATTATCTTATTTCTGTAGTCATATGTTTTTATGGCCCAAATTAAATCCACCTGAATTTTATATCAGAATTACAAATCATGGCATATCACTATTTGAATTTGTTTATCATACCTAGATCATTTTGTCATTAGTCTTTTTAATTATTATATTGTATGATCTATAAGAAAACACATTTTAGTCATATACTGAGGTGATTTTCACTCACTTAAAGATGGTAACTGGTTGCCAGGATAGCCATCCATGTAATTTTAGAGAGTTGGAGCTTTAACTAAAAAATCCCCCATCCTCACCCTCCCATCTCAAGGTGGACAAGTTTGGATGTGTAAGCAATCGTCATTGACTTAATAAATCATGCTTGTAATGAAAATTTCTAAAAAAAAAAAAATGCAGATGGACAGGGTTCATTTATGCCTATGTAATAGGTTTTTTCAGTCACTTTAGGAAAGTACTGGAACCAAAGAAGGGAGTATGAGAATCTCTCATTTCTAACTAGTCCATCAGAAGTACAGCTGGACTTACAGCAGCCTCAATTAAGATTGTAATTGAAATCTCCAGCTTAAGGCTGGCAGTTGAAATTTCCAGCTTAAGCACAAATAAAATATAACCACCAAGCTATCAACTGTGACTGAAAGGTATGACAGTGTAAGAAGGTGGTTCGCAAGAAGTGTCTTGTAGAACTAAACCCCTAACCTGTGTAGTCTGTCACTATGTCTCCATAGATAGTTTCAGAATTGAGTTGAATCATAAACACCCAGTCAACTCCCAGAGAGTTGCTTGTTGGTGATGTGAGAAATCTCCCTCTGACACATTGGAAATCTAGATCCCTATATTGAATATCCAGATTCAGTCTCCAATCACTCAGAAGCCAAACACAAGAAACAAGAGCAAGGCTAGGCTTCTTCAGAAAACCAATTATTTCTGGGAGATGGCCACATCACAACCCAGAATAAGTCTTTATAAGGTTTTTATAAAGGGAGGTCTTGGGCCTCCCTGATAACACAAGGGGTTAATCCACAGCACTATGAAGCTAACAGCAGCCACTACAACATGAGTTGGATCTCCTGCAGGGAGCTGACTAACATGCAGCAGACCTCTCCTGTCTTTTGCGCTGTACCCATCAGCAGTGTATTTCATTAGATCTGCCTTTTCTGCTCCCCCACTCAATCTCTGGTGCATCCTCTCAAACCCCCCAAACTTGGGCCTGCACCCCAGCAATTGTATGCATAAAATTAAGACAAGAATTAAAAAGAAAAGAACAGAGTTTGCAAGTTCTGTTATCACTAGTCATTGTTTGCAAATTTCCATTTGAGTTAATCTGTTAGGTTGGAATGGGTGATCTAGTCCTATCTCCAAGATTCATCTGTTAACAAAGAAACTCATCAGGGAATGCTGGTTTTTCTTAAGGCCTTTTAGGGTGTTAATTTGCTGATGATCTAAGAGACATAACTGAGTATTTTACAAGCTACAGTAATGACTGAGAGAGAGCCCTTTTCCCAATTAGGATTTTTTCACGCTTTCACCAGAACACTCACACACACTTTTAAGTGTTTTTGTTTTTAAGGTTTATTCATTTATGCATGCAAGAACTGGGGTGCAGGCCAGAAGTGCAGGGAATGAGAGGACTCCCCTGAGACAGAGTGGGGAGCAGAACTGGCAGATCTACTGAAATACAGTTCTGAGGGGAGAAGTGGGAAAAACAGGAGGTTCACTTCCCCGGTCAGAGATGGCTGCAGAGAGCTTCACAGTGCTGTGCTTTAACCCCTTGTGCCACCAGGGAGTTCCCCTAATTTAGGTGCTTTTTGATACAGTTTACATTAGGGTATATAAATGTATGTGCCTGTGTATACCCACACATTAACCTGAAAATCTGAGTTCTGTCAAAATTAGTTAAGCCATTTGCTGAAATGTTTCTATAATTTCTGTTAGTATTTAGGATTATATTTTTCACTAATAACTTTAATGATGCCACAGCCCTATTTCCTTATTTTTGCTCTTAATATTTTTGTCTCATCTATTAACTAACTCCTCAGTACAGAGATAAATGAGCTTATTATATGTCCCACCCTTCCTCTCTCTTTTCTCACATTTTTGCTTGATTGATTTTTACTTTGTCAGAGTAAGTAATGTTTACACACTATTCTTCCACCTATTCTCTACTATTATTAAAAGCTATCTTTTTCTTGTTTCCCAATATTTCCTGAGTCAGTAACCTTGGCCAACGACAACACATGGAGAATTTCAAGACATTTCTAATTCAATCCTAAAGGTAAAGAAAATACTAAGTAAATCTGTACAACAAAACCAAATAATTGACATTTGCTAAGTCATTTATAATGAAAAGAAAAACAAGTTGCATCAGATGCTTCAGCACTAACATTACAAGCAAAACAAAAATGCAACAATTTAAAAAAATATATATTATATATATTACTATATGTGTGTTTGTATATATATGTGTGTGTATGTATGTATGTATGTATGTATGTTGTGTGTATATATATAAATAGATAGATATAGATAACAGAATACAGAAAATGTGGACCAAGATTATCTGGTCATGATGGAGAAATGGGAAGCAGATTTGCCCATTACTTTTCTAGAACCTAAGATTTAACTATGTACAAATGTAGTTTCAAACATTGAATTATAACATATTAGGACAATGATTTCTGATAGAAGGGAAATAGTAATTTTCAGACTAGTTTTTAAGTTAATCTCTGATTTGAGAGATAGATTTGAGAGTATTTGGACATTTAAAGTGACTAGAGTTCACATATGAGAGGAAAAAGCTGCATCGATAGATGAGGGCACAATTTTGCAGAAAAAAGAGATATAGAGATAGGTCCACAAGAAACACCAGCAATGTACAAAGTGTTGTCCCTAGGTGTTTACCTGAACACTCATCAGTTTATGAGTGTGAGAAAACTGGTCAGGGTTGGTAAAGAATCACAGGGAAGTCGCAGTTGGAACAATTCCTGGAATGTAGAGATGGTAATAACTCATGTTTCCATTACCCAGAATGGAAAAACTTTGTAATATATTGAGCATCTGATAGAGTACCCAGGATATTGCCTGAGTGGCGAGGCAAAATGAGTTGTAGAACAGAGTCTGTTCTGAGATCAGCACTCTGATAGTAAAAGCTGACAAAGATAATGAAAAAGAAAAGAAAATTCGGATCAGTGTTCCTGAAGAATGTAGATGTAGAAGTGTTAGCAAATAAAATCAATACTATATATAATTCATTGTAGAAGTACTAAGTTAGATATTAGAGTATAATGTATAATTATATTTGGTTTAGATTCCATAATCAGCATAATCTAACAGATTAAAAGAATAAAGACATTAAAAATTTCATATGGTCAACTCAATAGGCCGAGAAGGTATATTTGATGAAATTCAACACGTATTCATGATAAAGATTCTCAAAAATCTAGGAACAGAAGGATACAATTTGGCGAGATTAGATGCACCTTCTAGCATCAGAACAAGGCACAGATGTTTGCTTTAACACATTCTAGTTAATGTTTCACTGACCGACAGCAGCTCATCATGGAATAACGCAGCTTTAGCATCAAAAAAAATTAACAGTTTATAAATTGGAAAAAGTTTTAAAACTACTTACAGTTGCAGTGATTCTAGAGCATAATAACATCACATGATTGGAGGCGTCAGCATTTACATATGCATTGTTTCCCTATGGAGTTGAATTAAATGATTTGAAATGAAGTTTTCAAGAACTCTTTGTAATAACTTCAAAAAGAAAACTATTGGGAATGAATTTTATAAAAATACATAAACATTGCTGATAAAATAAAAGAATTTCTCAGAAATTAAAGATAATCTTGAGAAATGAGTAAGTGCAATCAATGTTCAATAGAATTTATTTGTAGATCTAAATAATTTGTATGCTCAGCAGATTTCTACATACTAAATAGCTGTTTCAGTTGATATCGTTTTGCTTACAGTGTATTGTTGATAATTTATTTGCAGAGCCAACAGCTTTATAATAAAGATCCATTTATCTCTATTGAAATTAATAATTATTGTAAAAATACAAATGACCTAAAATAGCCAAAACAATCTAAAAAAAAAAACAGTGAAATTAGTACATTCACATTATTTCCCTTTCAAGACTTACCATAACCAATGTTTCCTCAATTAAAAAAATATATAGATTTGCGATAAATAGATAGTAATGCCACAGTTATCCAGGTGATTTCCAATAAAGCATCAATCTATTAGTAATGTTGACCAACTAGATAAATCTATAAGATAACAATCTCTTCCTATCATAATAGTGAAAATTAATTTAATATGATTCATAACCTACACTTTAATACAAAACTATAATGCCTTAACATTTGTTTTTCTTTTTCTGTTTCTCATTAAATATCTTATTTTTTCCAGCTTTATTTCTTCTCTTATTGTTACTGATATCCATATGCTCAGAAATATTTGTAAGACTTGCTTTTAATTTGTATTTACTCCACATCAATATAAACCACTGCATTGAGCACATGTTAATACATTAACAGCAGAACGTGTCAACTTTATCTGTGAAACTGGAAACAGAATTTTAATTCAAACATTCAAAGTGTGAGATTTTGAAAGTTCTGACTTTTGATTTATACATATAATAAAGAAATTTTTGAATCTAAAATTAGTTATTAGTAATTCTGTGCCTCTTATCCGCAGGAGAGAATGTTTAAATTTTACCAAGTAAAACATATATTTGAAATACTGGATAAAATGAGATGCCTGCGAAAACGTTCTACAGTATCATTCTTGGGAGTTCTTGTCATTTTCCTTCTATTTATGAACTTGTACATTGAAGATAGCTATGTTCTGGTAAGTAATTGAGATTATATATCTAATGTTCTAAACAGGGCAAAATAAAACTAGACTTAGTTTGTTCACTTGCAACTTAATTGTAACCTAATTAAATTTGAGGCTATTGAATATCATTAGTTTGAAGTTATAACTTGTATAATTTGTAGCTATTTTTCCTATCAGTTTTATATTACTAACATCAGAAGTGTTTTAATTTGCATTACAATTTTTTTCTTCAATGCTATATATATGTTGCTTTGAATACATGTATATAATTTCAAATAAGTTATAACTTGGATTATTATTGTGTCAATTTGCAATATATGTAATAAGTCTACTTAAAGGTGTTGCTTTTTACTTTTTCTAGTTCTCTATGTAATAATAATTTTACAAGCTTTTTGTCCAACTAAGGATGCTAATCGTGCTATTTGTTAAGAAATGATATTTTATTGAATATGTGCACCTCATTTGGATTTTGAATAATCCTAAATGACAGACATGTTACAGATATGTAGTTACTGAAAAGTAATTTTGACCCTCAAAAACTGAAGACATTATTAATGAGAAAACTATTAAGTAGTTTAAAAAATAAGAAAATTACTAAATAATGCTATGTGAATTAATTTTGAGGGAATTATGGAAATATACAGGACACTGGAAAATCATGAGAAATTAATGTGTTGCTATAATTTATTGTCATTCTAATTATAACATCATTTCATATATGATGAGAATGACATGGAAATTATTTTTTTCTATCTGAATTAAGCTAGAGATATTTGAAAAATCCTAATCTTGATGTGCTTATTCCTATTCACATATTTCCTAAAATCAAAATCTTTTGATACACAGAGGACTAAGAAATATTTTCATCATGCAAAATGCTTGAAGCTTTAATTATTATCCTAGTAAAAAAAGAAACTTGACAATCACCACAAAGAATAGTTTCCAATAAAATGTCTAATTTTTTTTTTTTGTTATTAATTGAACATGATTTATTAGCTACCTAGTATTTGTCAGATGCTACCATAAAACCTATGGACCAACTAGTTGAGACAGATCCTCTTAGAGGTCGGCAAAGATCCTCTTAGAAGTCATCAAAGATCTTCCTTCCCATTAGTATTTTTTTTAAGGTTTATTTATTTATGCATATAAGAACTAGGGTACAGGCCAGAAGTGGGGGTTGATGAGAGGATTCACAAGAGACAGTGAGGATCAGAACAGACAGATATACTGAAATACACTGTTGAGGGGAGCAGATGGGTGGGGGCAAAGAGATCTGCCATGCCATATAGGTCACCATCCTGTCCAGGGTTGAAACTTGTGCTTCAGTGGCTGCTCATAGCTTCATAGTGTAGCACTTTAAGCCCCACAACCACTCCCTGCCTTTGTGCCACCAGGGAGGGCCTAGCATTGTTCTTTTATGGCAAAATTCTACCAGATTCCTAGATGTTGACTCTGCTTTGGTCTTCTACATCAAGTATAGGCTTTGATCTTGTGACCCTTTCATTCTTCCATCTACTGTCAATTCACAATGACTAAAACCACCACAGATTAATAGAATTTTACCAGGTATAATTTACATAAATTAGCAAACTGGAGAAATATTCTAATATATACATTTTTTAAGTTTTTTTTTAAGTTTATGACATTTAAGGACAGTAGAGCATGTATCATATGACTGCTATTCTTTATAGAATTAGAGATAATAAATTAACTAGAAGGTTCTTGATTAATGATTTTATTTTGTAACAAAAATTTATTTCTCACATCTGTGTTACCGTTAAATAAATCACATCTTCTAAATCAAACACATAGCATTGGCAGGATGCTTGTTGTTCAATGACTCTCTGCATTTATGAGACACTTTAAAGAGCAATTTCAATGTTGTATGCAGCAAACAATGTCTTGAAATAGAGCCTCATCAAATTCACTGTAAAATGTGTAGGAAGTAATAGAGTATATATATCCATAAAAGATCAATGACCATTACCCTGTTTTGTGAATTTTAATATATTCCTGTCTAAACATCAACTCTAGCCATCAAAAATAAAAGAACCAATATAAATAAAATTTACATTTGCCAAAGAGTAATTGCTCAATGAAATTTTCTCTGAATATACTAGGCATCTATTTAGTTAAATTTGTAATTCGACAAAAGTATACAGAAATGCATAAAACTGAATTAATTTTAAATACATATATCAATTTGGAAAAACTGACTTAAAATTGTTGTCAACTCCAGCCACTCCCCTTATTGTAAATTCAATGACAGCTTTGTATTAGTTTGATTTTTCACTGTTTACTAGATGATGTGTTTAACCTAAATTGCATTTTTGGGGGAAATTTATCCCAAGGATAAATATGTATAATAACTTTAAAATTTTTATATCATTAATGTAAAATTACATGTAAAAGTGTCTTCTAAAAATGTTTCATATCAGTTAAAACTGCCCCCATGTAAGATATACCACAGTTTATTTGCTTCTTTCTAATGTCTTTGTCCTTTTTGTTTTCACTTTTCATAAAATTATCTGCCTTAATTATCTTTCTTTGGTGCAGATTGCCACACTGTGTGCAATTTTATCAGTACAGACATTAATAGGTTGCTCTTTTTCTGTTTATTTCAGGGAGAAATAATAGTTGTAATTCAGAGAAATCAGATAAACATTTAGAAATATAAGGTTTCCAGAGTTCCTTAGTACATTCTAATATACTCTGTTTGCTAAAAAAAAAACCAAAAAACTAACTGTGGCATGAAATTCTGAGCATAGAACAGTTTAGACATACATATTAGCGATATATGTACCTTTCAGAGAGTGGAAGCGGAATTCAGTGTCAGAGACAAATACTATTACAAGGCAAACTTTAGTAACAGAGATCTGCATGTCCAATCAACTTAGCTTCTTGAATGTGAGTGTCTTCAAATAGCCACAAGGGTGTCTATTTAGTTTGTAGCTAGTCCATTGAATGGTATTCCTGTCCAGAAAATGATTGTCATGAAGCTTTGTCTTCTTATTGGGGAAATTCACTATAGCATTGTAGCTACAGAAGGAAGGTATCCAGGGAGAACCTGCTGTTCAGGTAGACATCTCTGGAAAGCAGCCAATATAACTGAATCCAGTGGAAACGACATTATTTATTTATGCTGAAAAGCGTGTAGAAGCTTGTTCTTGAGAATTTAATAAAGTGCTTTCATATAAGTTTCATTTCATATTATATTCTGTTATGTCCTTCAATCAGAATGAATATACTCTCTTATCATTGAAAAAAAATATGGATTTTTATGTGTCCGTGTTAGAATTATCAAAAAGATATGCAATATCCTGTACTTTCTTTAAAATGTAACATCATACAAGAGCAGAATGATAAAATTAATTCAGTACTGTGACTTTTATAGTTTTTTTATTTCCTTTAGATCCTAGGGTCACCATTACATTAATTGTAGTCAGTGCTCAGTTGAGTCCCCCAGCTATTTTTGGCCATCCTAAATTTATTTTAAAACATTAATGATTTTTTTATAGTGTGGTACCAGTAATTGAGACTTCTAGGAGGCCATATATTATTGTGTAAGGAAAAACTTTATTTAACACATAGCCATCTACTTTTTACTTGTGTTTTTTTGCCTCCTTGCCATTCAGGAAGGAGATAAACAACTTATAAGGGAAACATCTACACATCAACTGAATTCAGAACGCTATGTGCATACTTTCAAAGATTTATCTAATTTCTCAGGAGCCATAAATGTTACTTATCGCTACCTAGCTGCCACACCTTTACAAAGAAAGCGTAAGTATTGTTGCACATTTTCTAAATATTTATTTATTTATGCATCCAACATCTGGGTACAGGCCAGAGGTGCTGGGGTGAGAGGATTCAGCAGAGACAGAGAGGGGAACAGAACAGGTGGTTGACTGAAATACACTGCTGAGGGGAGCAGCAGGCAAGACATACGAGGTCTGCGGAGAAATGTGGGTCAGCTCCATGGCTGGGGATCAAACTGCTGTGGCTGTGGATAGCTTCATAGTGTTGCTACTTAACTCCTTGCAACACCAGGGAGTCCCGGTATTGGTACACTTTTAAAGAAAGAATACATAAAAATATTTTTGCTTTTAAAGAATAACTTATTTCATTTATGTAGTAATAAAAATGTAAGTGCTTTACTAATATAATATAGTCTTTGTTAAATAATTCGATGTTTCTTTTGTGACTAATCCCTGGTTCAAATCTATTAGCAAGAAAAAAATTAAATAAAACAGCTAATGATCACATGAACCTTCAATAGTTTATTGAAGAACCATGCAGAGGGACTAGGAAAAGACAGTTTTTATAATAAACAAAGCAAATTAACAAAAATAACTAAAGTGGTGGTGGTTATCAGAGGGGAAATGGAAGGGGAGTGGAAGGAAGGGGTAAAATGTGTGGACTTGATCATGGGAAGTGGGTGTGATGAGACATGATATATTGAGGTGTGAAACTGTAAATCTAATATTTAAATAGTGTTAGAAACTAAAAGTGAATACTAAAATATTATAAAAATAAATATTTGATCCAGTAGAAAGTAAATTTGTAAATAAATAATAAAGCCATTATGCCCATATGAATATATTTTCAAAATCTTTTGAAGTAGTGAAAATCATTGTACTAGTATACCAAGATGCTGTAGCAAACTAGGTGATTTACAACAACAGAAATGTATTCTTTCACATTTCTGGAACCAGTCTGAAATGAAGTTGCTGGCTGCATCACCCTCTCAAAGCTTGAAAGAAGAATCTTTCCTTGCCTCTTCCAGCTCCTGGCAGCATCTTTCATTTCTAGGTTTTTAGCAACATAATTACAATTTCTGCAGCCATCCTCTTAGGCTTTTCTTCTGACTCTCTGTTTCTCTGTTCTCTACTGGTTTTCAAGGACACTAGTTATTGAATCTCATACCCACTCTAAATCCAATATGATTTCATCCTGAGATCCTTAACTAATACTATCTGCCAGGACCCTATTCCATTTAAGGTCACATTCTGAGGTTCCAGGCAGGCATGCATTTTTGAAGGAAAATATTGGATTCACTGCAGGCTGTCTAAATTCGAAATGTAAAGAACTATCTCATGGATTTTGAGACATTGGGCTATTAACAGTATCATGATGTAATTAATGTGCCAATAAGAAAATATACCAATTTTAATTGTTAGATTCCATCAAATGTAACATGCAACCTGATTTGAAATTATTTCCGTGGGGAAAAAAAGGGAATCTTAGAATCAATGTAAAACAATGAACTTCTTTTTAAAATTGTTTATGCAAGTGACTTTGTGATCACCAGTTTGATGAAACTGTCATTTTCATATTGCGTTTTTTAGATCTTTTGTTCTTACCCTTTCAAATGTCTTTTGCTCTTAAGCTTTTCTCCACTTGTGTAAGATTGCTACTATTTCTTCTCCAACCATTATAATACTCTTGTACAAACATTACTAATTGTCTTTATCCAGTCTGATTTTACTAAAATGTGCTGGCACAATATGTTATCTGTTTTATACTAAGAGACAATGTAGCACAGAAAACAAAATAAGGTTTGAATCTCAGCACCATACAATGTGTTAGCCTTTGCCTAAGTTGCTTCATCTTCACCTAGAATGTAGGGATGATAGTGGGTGTAAACCTTTCCCAAAACAACTGTAATGAACACTGTAGTATACATAGACCCTTCCTTTTATTTAGTATGGCTATTACAGAACATACATGGAAGCTGGTGACTTCAGTTTGTTGCTACCGGATAGCATGCTGTTCATTGGAAATTATGGTTGTAAACCTACGTATTTAAATGAATTGCATAAATACCACTCTAAAAATCTAAAGATTTTTCTTGGGCAGGGCTTTTGCAGTATCATATAAATCATATCAAGAAGGTGCCTGTGTTAATACAGTGATCTTGGTAAATATATATAGTAAACATTTCCATTTTCCAAATGGTATTTCTGAAACGTCATTCAATGGAGTCTCAATAAGAATGAGAGCTTTAAAAAGTGAAAGTATTTCAAAAGAAAAACATCTCATCTAACACTTTCAGAAGCAAACTGACATTTCACAGGGTTTTATTTATTCCCTGAAAGTGTCTAATTTCTAATTACATATTTAAAAACGTGAATAAAAATTCCTCCCCACATAACTATAAATGTGATTTTTCAAATAAATAAAACCATAATATTTGTGTCTTAACAATAATAGTTGAACAATTACAGGTTTTCAAGAAAACATATTTTTGCATTCTAACTTTCTAGGTAAATTTCAGGATAAAACTATAAAATTGAATTGTGATTATTCTTGTATAAAATAAAGAAAATGGGTAAAGGAAAATGAAAATATATTTTCTATTTTAAAAAAATTCAAAGCTAATTAAAAGAATGAGTTACCTTAATTTTCTTTTTCATCATCAGAGACCAGTTTGTCATCCTTAAATGTGAATATCCTTTTCCTTTTTCAGTTACTTTTTTAAAATATTTGTAGTATAGCTATTATCTAAACATTCATAGTATGGCTAATTTCTTATGGGCATATATGAGAATATGAAACTGTATAACAGTAAGTATTTTATTTTATAAATTTGTTTACAGCTATAGGACTCATACATAATGGTGCTTAAGATGCAGTGTATTTTCCATAGTAAATATAAATTATGTATAAGTATAAATTATGTACAAGGTCAATATATAAACTTTATATATTTAGCCTAAAAATTTAACCACAAAACGTTCTACTCATAATCATTCACTATAGTAACAGGTCTAAAGAAAATAGCTTTTTTTTTTCTTTTTCAATGTTATTCAAAACTTATTCACATTTAATTTGTCTTCCTTTGAATTCTTTTGCTCAGGGTTTCTTACAATTGGACTTTCATCTGTGAAAAGAAAAAAAGGAAACTATTTACTTGAGACAATCAAGTCAATTTTTGAGCAATCCAGCTACGAAGAGCTGAAGGAAATTTCAGTGGTGGTTCATCTTGCAGAGTTTAATTCATCTTGGCGTGAGGTCATGGTCCAGGATATTACACAGAAATTTGCCCACCATATTATTGCAGGAAGATTAATGGTTATACATGCTCCTGAGGAATATTACCCAATCCTAGACGGTCTCAAAAGAAATTACAATGATCCAGAAGATAGAGTGAGATTTCGTTCCAAGCAAAATGTAGATTATGCCTTCCTGCTTAATTTTTGTGCCAATACTTCAGACTATTATGTAATGCTTGAAGATGATGTTCGATGTTCCAAAAATTTCTTAACTGCCATCAAGAAAGTCATTACCTCCCTAGAAGGAACTTACTGGGTAACTCTTGAGTTCTCTAAGCTCGGATACATTGGAAAACTTTATCATTCTCATGATCTCCCTCGTTTGGCACATTTTTTATTGATGTTTTATCAAGAAATGCCTTGTGATTGGCTATTGACTCATTTCCGGGGTTTGTTGGCTCAGAAAAATGTGATCCGTTTTAAACCATCTCTTTTTCAACACATGGGCTATTATTCATCATACAAAGGGACTGAGAATAAGCTGAAGGATGATGATTTTGAAGATGAGTCATTTGACATTCCTGATAATCCTCCTGCAAGTCTATATACCAACATCAATGTTTTTGAAAATTATGAAGCAAGCAAGGCTTATAGTAGCGTTGATGAGTACTTTTGGGGGAAACCACCATTAATAGGAGATGTCTTTGTGATTATATTTGAAAATCCAATTGTAATTAAAAAAATTAAAGTGAATACTGGAACAGAAGATCGGCAAAATGACATCTTACATCATGGAGCCCTAGATGTTGGTGAAAATGTTGTACCTTTCAAACAAAGTAGACAATGTCTTACTTACTTAAGACTAGGGGAATTCAAAAATGGAAACTTTGAAATGTCAGATGTGAATCAGAAAGTTCCATTTGATATACATTGTATAAGGATATATGTTACAAAAACACAAAAAGAGTGGCTAATCATTAGGAGTATTAGCATTTGGACTTCTTAGCCAATTAAATCCATACAATCAGTAACTGAAGCAGGTCTCCCTGTTTCCTTTCTTGCTACCTTCCTGTTTTCTACCTTTGTCCTGTGGAGGGAAAGCAATAGATGGGATGCTTTAAAAAAAAAATCAATAACCTGGGCAGTTTTGACTTACATATTATCAACTAATTTTACACTGATACACATTTGTATTTATTTTTTCATCTGAAATTTAATATCAGTCCATAACTAATGCTACTGTTATTGATATTTTTAATGTTACCATGTTAGTTTCACATTTTCAATTGAATGTCAATTTTTAGAAATTTAAATGAGAACACTTCAGTTATTGGATGGTAAGGCTTGAATAATAACTGCCTACTGTACACACCTTCTCAAGAATTGATCACTTAATATATCATCAGATAGATTTCATTAAGCATCTATGTGAATACGCAGGTGGTTAGAATGTTAATTTGGGTTTTGTTTTGTTTTTTTTTTTTCCTTGTTAACTTAGGTTTCTATAGACTTCTGTTCCTCTACAATGAATACCTCCTCATAGAAGTGATGTCTTTTCAAAAGAATTGTGTGTAGATGGGATGACGGAAAGAAAAAAAAAATACTTAAAAAAATCTCTCCCCTGATTATTTATTTTGAAGGGGACATTGTTCATTGTATAAAAACATTTAATTGAGCACCTATTATTAATAAATTTTCTGTGGGAAGCAGTCTTTTTATAGTTTCCCTTTTGCAAAAAAAAAAACTAGTGATATTCAATATTTTCAGGTTACATTGGATAAATGCATTTAAGAGAAGAAAATCAGAGAGGGCTTATGGTTAGTTCATTCTTACAGACATTTTCAGTATATGCAGAAAAAAATGAAATTGATTTTATATGTTTTGTATTAAAATTCATGTGACTGAAATCATTGTGATTTATCATATACTTCTTTGGAGTTGAACTGGACATCTCAAAAAGGAGAAACATTTAAAAACATAAAAATTAGTTTACATTTTTACACTCAAAGGTTCAGAGCAAAGCCAAAATGAGAGTTTATGTGTTCTGCTATCAGGATGATGTCTTTCCCTTACACCTCACATAATTTATGTTTTTTGTTCTCTACTACTATATAAGTCTCAAATATTAAGTTATGCTAGTTATGCTATCTGGAAATAGCTAGTGTAATTCTTCCATAAGCCATACTATTGTTCTGTGGAATAATCTTCATGTGTTCTGAATAATGGTCTAGTGATATATGTACCCAAATGTAAGCAAATGACTAAGTTTATTATGGACGAGGCAATTGCACCTCTAACATATGGCCATTAAAGCAATTCAGGACATCTTAGTGTATCCAAAAAAACCACTGGTTTTTCAGAATGTCCTGAGCTTGTCTCATTCTTTTGATTTTTGACAAACAATGACGAAATATTCGATTATAAAGACAAATGAAGAGTAGTTCATAAGTGCTAATGTTTAGATAGATGAATACTGTAAACATGTGTGTGTGTTAAAGACTAGACTTGTGATATTGAGAAGGAAGGGGGAATTCTTCCTGCTCCTCCCTAAAGGCTGAAAAAAATCCTTAGGACTCACTGAATTGTCGCAGTCCAAAAACAATTTGGAAATATTTTATTAATTCTATCCAAGTCAATTAAATTAGAAACAGATAAAAATAGGGGATATTTTTCCTTTATTGATATAAAATCAATTGTGTATTTTCTTTGTAAACAGGGCTTTCATGTTAAGTGGAAAAAAGATAAATCTATAAATATAATTTTATGGGTATCAAAATTTTAATATCATACAAAATTATTATGGGCACTGCCACTAAATTATCATCTTTGCTTTGATTTGGATATTTGGCACACCTAAAAATATTGTATTTTCTTACTTTTTCTGATTATCTTTTATTAACTATCTAGTTGTATAGTATCCTTCATTTATCTAAGAAATTACAAGTAACCTCTTTTCTGCACTTTCAATGATAAAAGTTACAGGGCAGCTATCTATAATATCAAGATCTAGGCAGGTGAATTATAAAAATTTGCATATTTTTTCTGGGGGTATTTCCAAAGACCAGCCATTGACAATTACTTCTGGAAAACTCTTCAAGAATGACTGCTAATGGTAACAGTGAAATTGAATGTTTGCTAATGAATTAGAAATACAAATGATAATCCAAAATGCGTTCCAAGAGGCCACATTTCATCTAAAACATGATCCTTTCACTATGGTGACCAGGTTTGAGAGATCTTATCAACCACCTAAGGTTATGTTTTTGTTTTCTTTAAAAGTTGATTATGGGTCAACTTTCCAAGAAAATCTTCTCCATTAAAGATGGGGTAGATGGAGATAATCTTTCTCTTTTGAACCTTACATGTTCCAATATTGTATTTCATACATTTTCACAAATTTTAATAAGATCCCAGTAACCAGGAGCATAAAGAAAAAAAAATTCAATCTACTAGGAAGCATTATGTGATTTCTCTCTTAATGGTAATTTTTTAGTATATACATTATTTTTCTTGCTAAATATAGATATTTTAAAAAGACTACAATAGGACATAAATCACTAAGATGTTTTGTTGATGTGAAAATAAGGTTTGACAGGTTTCATAGTATCTCAGTTTTTGTATTTTAAAGTGACCAAAAATCTTACTTACCTTTGAAGTCTTCTCAAAAGACTTTTTCAGAATTTATAGAAAGCACAGGAAAGCATCTTGTAAAAGCACAATAAAAATTTGGAAAAAATATTTTTCTGGAAAATACACACTTAGTAGCAATAAAAAATGCAGATACAAAAATGTATAAAGGTGTTCATACTAGCACTTTCGCATTATCATTGAAAAATTCTAACTTGCACAATTTATAAAGTAGATTTTTCCAGATATAAAAATATAATATGGAAATGATTGTGTCATATAAAACTACTTCTCTCATGTAGCTACATTTATGAAATAGAAATATTCCATATCCTAAGAGTTAACTTCTTTGGAAGGTCTTATAAAACTACCATAGAAAAACTGTGCTGTACAGTAATTACATATAAATATAACAAAGATTTTTAAATTATAATATAAGGCAGGTAAGAAAAGCACTTAATCTTCTAAATGTCCATATGGCACACTTCACCAGATTTGTCAACAAATCCTTTAGAACATGAAAGTTTAACATTGAAAATACTACTTTCTGTCCTCTTACTAAATAAAAAAGTCAGTTTTTTTTTCCTTTGCCTTATCAATACATGCATTAATACAATCTAGAATTGCATTTTATCATGCTAATAGAGATACAGTCAAACACTATTTAGTACTTATTACCAGGTCTACTAGTAAGACATGGTTTACTGTTCTGTATATGTTCTATTGCTTTTTTGAAGGTTTCTTTGAATACAGTATTAGTTTCAAGAGAATGTCATCTTATTTCTTCTAATCCATGATCCACACTCCAGGTCTTGGCTTGTCATTGAGTGTTTTAACCTAGTTTCCCAGTTTCGTGTTATCACAAACTCAACATGTATTCCTTTTGTCCTCATAATACATATATTGAAAAGGTCATTTAGACCTGATTTTGGAACTCAAATCTTCAATGATAGCCCCTAAATATAAAGTTATGTAAGCTCTTTGAAACTCAGTTCATCATCGATGAAATTTTAATAATTTTACATTATCAGTCTATTTTTTTAAGGGTAAGCAATGACAGCGAATAAGAAACATTCAGAAATGGTATCTGTTCTTTCAATATACTGTATGGCATAAACCTCAATGGTCACTGCATCCTACAACTCACTCTAACTGCAAATAAGTACAATTTTAATGTACAAAAAAACAAAATGGGCCCTCCCTGGTGGCACAACAGATTAGGACACAGCACTTGCAAGCGAGCCACAGCCACTTAAGTGCTAGTTTGATACCAGGCCCAGAGGTGACCCACATGGCATTGCAAACCTCTCCTGACCCGCCCACTGCTCCCCTCAGCAGTGTACTTCATCAGTCAGCCTGTTCTGCTCCCCACTCTGTCTCTGGTGAAT